TCTGCTATTTGGAGCTGACAGATGCCACAGCTGACCGTTAATTTGTAGAATGTGATTCATTTAAAATACCAATTCCGTCTTTCTGCATTTATGGATGCTCATATACCTCTGCCATGTTCATTTTCTTAATGTGAAAAAGGTATGTGAGTTTCTGAGCTCGCCTTGCCGTAACATCCTCACAAAAGGCCACCCAAAATATATATCTGCCTTCAGCTCTATTCCCACCCTCAAACTGTCACAGCTAAGTTTGAGGACTTAGAAGGGGAAGCCTGACATTTCGACCACTAAGCTAGTGTAAACAACCCCAGAGGAAAGTTCCTTGCCAAATATGCTTTATAGGAACCAAGTGGGTAGGTTTTCTCCAGTTACAGTGGAGATAACCAAGACAGATTGAACTGGGGGAGGGGTCTCCTCTCTTTAGCCACAAACCACATGTTGATGGCTCAAGCAGCTCCATTGCATGTATTTTCATGAAAATCATGCGATTTACAAACACAAAGATATCATCTGTATCCCTATTACTCCACTTTTCTGAGAGGAGACCTCTAAAGTTATGCTTGCATTTTAAAAAGAAGGAATTATATACTTGAAACTAATATGACATATATGTTCATTATACTTAATAAAATACAAATAAATAACAACATAAAATGTAAAAGAACACACTTATTAAATGAATATAATTGTATCTTTTTCATTTCCTTTTGTGCCAGAGAAACAAACTAAAGGAATCTGAGTCAGCCTGGCCAACAGCAAACTCCAGAGCCAAATGTGAGCACACGTTATAAATCAGAGACCTCACCTTGGCTCCTCAGAAGGCACACCCAACAGCTGCTGAGCAAAGAGCAGATGATGGGGATGGGGACTCTTGGTTAGCTCTCTCATGGGAAAGGGTGGCTTTTCCCAAGTTGAAGGTGGTGAAATCCAGAAGGAGCTAATGAGGGAGACTCACACGCTGGTGGTGCTATGAGAACATGATTGAACATCATTATATTCTCTCTACCCATGTTATCATGTCTCCCACCCCATTATTTCTGGGCAGTGACTTAGGTCTTAGTTAATAAACTGCAGCTCTTATTTCTGTGCTACACCAGATGAGCCATGATGCACTTTCCTTGTCTTACCATTCATAAACTACAGCCCTGTTACACTCTCAGAATTTTAGAACAAATTTCTCTTTGCTGGAATATGGTATGTGTTTCGTGTTATTTGCTTGGACTAGTTGTTGTTGCCTCTTGTGCACTGAAGGAATGACAGAAGACAAAATGAACTTTCTTCCTGGGGGTGGTGCTGATTTTGTCTCTCCCCTAGTCAGAGACAAAAGCTGGCCATTCACACATTTATTACAGACACTTTTGTTTATTGGTTGACAACTGCTTTGATTGTGACCTTCAGGTAGATGAAATACAGTTCGAATTGTAGTTTATGAATTTGCGTGGAAAATGGCCATTTGATTTAGGGGCTCTGTACACATCTTACAAACATATCTGTTTGTCAGAGCTTATTTACTTTGGAAGATTAAAATGAAATGTCTTTTCTCATAAGCCAAGGGTGAAATAGCTCTTGTTAGCCCTTTAATATGTGAACTAATAGGTTTCCTGACAGGCAAGCAGGTCTCTGATTAACTCATATTGTTCCTCTTCAGAAGAAAGTAACTAAAATCTTAATAATGAACATACAAATATACATGAGAAACTCAAAAGAATAAACAAATGATTTTTATTGCAATAAAGTATTAGCATAAATTCTGTCATATAAAAATAGCAAAGTAAGTTAAAAATATAAAATATAGGGATCCCTGGGTGGCGCAGTGGTTTGGCACCTGCCTTTGGCCCAGGGCACGATCCTGGAGACCCAGGATCGAGTCCCCTGTCGGGCTCCCGGTGCATGGAGCCTGCTTCTCCCTCTGCCTGTGTCTCTGCCTCTCTCTCTCACTGTGTGCCTATCATAAATAAATTTTAAAAAATTTAAAAAATAGTTAAAATGTTATTTAAAATATATATATATAAAATATAAAAATAAATTAACCTACATAAAAACTCAGAAAATAGCCTTAAGTGATCCTAAATGCTTTTCAACTTTTAATGTTATTTTTGACCTATATAATACAACTTCTAAAAATTTATACTACGTTTATACTTTATGACAATTTTAAGTTTTCAGTAAACTCACACAGAAAATATAGAGACTTTTCATAAACTCCCTCCAACACACACACACGTCTCCTATTATTAACATCTTGCATTAATGTCATATATTTGTTACAATTGATGAACAAATATCAATACATTACCATTAAATGAAGTCCACAGTTTACATTAGGGGTCACTCTATGCTATGCACTCAATGGGTTTTGACAAATGCATGTATCCACCACTATAATATCATACAGAGTAGTTCTATTGTCCACCACTATAATGTCATGCAGAGTAGTTCTATTGTCCTAAAGGTCTCCTGGGCTCCATGGCTTCAGCCCCATGCCCACCATGAACCCCTGGCAACCACTAGTCTTTTTACCGTTGCTCTAACTTTTCCTATTTTAGGTGCTATATAGTTGGAATCATCCAGTAGGGAGCCTTTTAGGATTGGCTTCTTTCACTCAGCAATATGCATTTAAGTTTCCTCTGTGTCTTTTTGTGGTTTGAGAGCTCGTTTCTTTTTATCAGTGAATAACATTCCATTATCTGGAAGTACCACAGCTTGTTCATTCAGAACAATATTTTTATTATGAAATCGTTGTAAAATAGTATTTCAGGGTATTATACATAGGTTAGTAGGCTAATCTTTAGTTCTGCAATGTGGCACATTGTGTTAATTTTTTATGATCTGTATGAACTAAGGAGCTTATTTGTGAAGAGAAGTTTTCCCCAGGAACTTATACTGTCATTGCTGGGAATCATCAGTCTCTCTTTTTCTCTCCTTTGGCTTTTTCACTGAAGCAAGTCCCTGTGAAGAGTCGAACTTTCCCAATCTGGTTTTTACCCTAGTTTTCTCTTCCACTTTAACATGAATCTCAGGATGACTCTACATCCCATCTATATTGTTTTCACTGATGTACTGTGTACTAAATACCTAAACTCATCATTTCTTTGCAATTCATAACTCAGCTGAGCTGCCACCACAGTACCAGCTTCCAAGTTGTCACTCGGAATCTTTTGTTTTTTAACTCAGGTGAGTCAGGGCAAATTCATAACTCACAGCATTTGCCCTGTTGAGCAATTTTTTTCATAAGACATCATCCTGTCCTGGTTTTGTCTACTTTCTAGGGCTCTTGCTCAGCTTCTGTTGAATTCACTCCATTTCCTCTGCCTGCCTTCCTCATTAGCAAGCATCCCAGAAATCCATCACTACTACGTCCCATTTTCCCAGCCTCAAGTATAGGCTGAAGCTAAAAAGCTTCAGAACTGACATTCTGGCAACTAGACAAGATACAGGATCATAAAGAGAAATATAAGACACAGTTAATCATCTCCTGGAGTTTTTGGACAATATTAGATAAGAGAACTAGCCTTGCTCTGTTTTTAAGCAATGAATTATTTCTCCAATCACACTAAGGTGATGATGGGTATTCCAAGCACTGCTGACCTTCTAACATTATCTTGGCTGGGATATTATGCACTATGATGGCGTTTCTTTGGGGTTTTCTAAAGTATTAAAATATTCACCTTCCTCCAATTTCCCTGGATGTCTGCATCTCTCTGATTTGTTACATTCAATGACAAAATATTAGCATCCTTATTTTTATTTCTTTTTTTTTCTTATTTTTATTTCTTAAATATTTATTTATTTGAGAGAGAGAACACATAGGAGGGAGGGGCAGAGGGAGAGGGGAGAGAGAGAATCTTCAAGCAGACTCCCCATTGAATACAGAGTTGGATTCAGGACTTGATCCCAAGATCCATGAGATCATGACTAGAGTTGAAACCAAAAGTCAGACACTTAACCGACTGAACCACCCAGAGGCCCCAACATCCTCATTATTAGATGACTCCCCCAGCCAAGGATTCACCCCTCTCTCTGCTGCTTTACCTCACACCCTATCACCTCACCATGGCACCACCCTGCCACCACAGTCCCAGCTTCCAAGTTGTCACTCAGAATCTTTTGTTTTTTTAAGATTTTATTTTTCATTTATTTGAGAGAAAAAGTATGAGTTGGGAGGAGGAGCCGAGGGAAAGGGAAAAGAAGATCCCTGCTGAGCAGGGAGCCCGATGCAGGTGCTTAATCCCAGGACCCTATGACCACCATCTGAGCTAAGAGCAGATGTTTAACTGACAGCCATCCAAAGTACCCCATCATTCAGAGAATCTTAATTGGTGTCTAATTTCCCATTCTAGAAGAAATCCACCAAACCATGAATAGATTTCTCTTGGGGGTGATTTGTTTTGCCCATAATCAAGACAATGTTGAGTTTGAATATAGCATTTTGTTCTCACTGCATCTTGAAAATTTTGTGAAAATCCTACTTGGTAATTACAGGCCAGACCCCTTTTCCCCTCACCCAAAGCACATGTGCAAAGAAAGACATAGGCATTTTTTACCTCTTGAAATTATACAAGTTAAAGCAAAGAAAGAGCTTATTTAGTAATCAGGAACATAGGAATAGCCAATGTTGTGTTGAGGCTGGAGTCAGACTGTCTCCAATAAGCAGCCCCTCACCTTGTTTTTCCCTCACTATTCCACTGCCTCAACACCCCTCACCCCAAGAGGACCACTTTCCTATACCCCTTCCCATGTCAAACACCGAGGGCACAGGTCTGGACAGCTGACTCACATCCCATGTCTCAGCAGCAGTAACATTATTCAGAATTGTCACAGTGACATCCTGTGACATCTCACTAGCTGGCAAGTCCTTGTTCCTGCCGTTTCATCTGTGTCGCCTTACCCAGCTAAATCCACTTCACTTAATCCTTACATCTGAGGGTGTGGTGGACACACACATACCAACTGACAAAAATAAATGGGGCTATAGAAGGACAGCATAAGAGTATATTACTTACTTGTGCAAAGTACTTAATGGTGGTTTTTCCTCTGTGGCTTCTGTACAATTCTCTTACTACATTAGAGTCACTATATCCACAGAAGTTGGTTGCAAGTTCTTGAGATATTTATTTCTTGCCCTGCAATCCTTAAGGCTGAAATCATTCTTCCCTGTTACCAAATTGATGACAATTCCTCAAAGTCATTTCCAAATTAGATACAAAGTCAAATGTAAGACACCCAAGTTTCTTACAGAGGCTTAAACGTCCATGGCACAAGGATTTTATTTTTTGGTGTTGTTCGCCAAGTAGTTTCCACACAAATATTTTCTCTCTTGTTTGTCCCTGACCGTTCCCTGAGTTGAAACCTCTAAAAGTGTATTGAAAGCTGCCCAGCTTAAGAGATATAGTCTCAAAAAGTAGCATCATATCTGCATAATTTTGTCTGCAAAAATATCAACTCTAAGGGAACTTAGCCACTGAATACTTGCTGGGCATTTGAGTCTCAGTTTAAGACTGGCAGGCAGTGCAAGCGCCATTTATAGACAATGGTAGATGTAAGGACACCTGTCAATGACATAAGGAAAAGGTGACTACCCTTTTAAAATAGCTGTCATTTTATTAGACTAAAAAAAATCAATTTGGATAATTTGAGCTGCCTACATTGAGAGTTACCATGAGCAGACAAAGTACGTCTTTGGAAACGCTGATTGTCAAGAAACATCATTATCTTACCAAATTTGTGTATGCATATTGGAGCATTACTGTATTAGCATTCATTTAATTGAAAGCAATCTCATCATTATTCATTGATACAAACTCTTAAATGAGGGCAATTACTTTCTCAGCAAGAGATCATCATGGGGGATGTATAAATTATATTATCTTTCCTTTAGATATAGGGGGATTGCATAGGATGGGAACTGAGGTGAAGCTACTTCTCTGTATATGGAATGGCGTAGCATTAGAGGGCTCAATCGGGAATTTTCAAAGTGAGCCTTTCTTTGGCTGGTTTCTACAGAAGATGAACTGTGTCATGTGTTTGCAGAATTATTGAACACTTGATGTCATTTGCTTTGTTTTATTTTTGATTTTGCTATTTGTTTTATTGAGATATACTTGATACATAATACGATATTAGTTTCAAGTGTACGACATAATGATAATCACCACAATAAGTTTAGTTACCATCTGTCACAATGCAATATCACAAACATTTTTTTCTTGTTAAAAGAACTTTTTAAGATTTACTTTTAGCAACCTTCAAATATGCAATACAGTATTATTGAGTATAGTCATCGTGCTGTGCATTACATTCCTAAGACCTATTTATTTTATTTTATTTTATTTTATTTTATTTTATTTTTATTTTTTAATTTTTAAAAGATTTTATTTATTCATTCATGAGACACACACACCACACACACACACACAGAGAGAGAGAGACAGAGAGAGAGAGGCAGAAACACAGGCAGAGGGAGAAACAGGCCCCATGGAGGGAGCTGGATGTGGGACTTGATCCCAGGTGTCCAGGATCATGCCCTGGGCTGAAGGTGGCGCTAAACCGCTGAGCCACGCAGGCTGCCCAACTTCTTTATTTTATAGTTGGAATTTTGTACGTCTTGACCTCTTTTACCCATTTTACCAATCCCTCTCCGCCCAGCAATCACCAATCTGTTCTCAGTATCTCTGAGGGTTTTTTTGGTTTGTTCATTTGTTTTGTATTTTAGATTCCACAAATAAGTAAAAACATATCATATTTGTCTTTCTCTGAGTGATTTATTTCACTTGACATAATATTCTCTAGGTCCATCCATGTTGTGGCTAATGGCAAGACTTCATCATTTATCATGGCTGAGTAGTACTCATTGTATCTTTCTCCATTGAACTTCTTTAACCATTTATCCACTGATGGATGCTTGGGTCTTGGTTATTATAAATAATGCTGCAATGAACATGGGGTGCAGATTCCTTTTTGAATTAGTGTTTTTGGTTTTTTTAGGATGAATACCTAGAAGTGAAGTTGCTGACTCATACGGCAGTTCAATTTTTAAAAAAATTTTTATACCAATTTATAATCCCACCAATAGTGCACAAGTGTTCCCTTAATGTTTTAACTAAAACTTGTTATTTCTTCTCTTTCTAAGCCATTCTAACAGATATGAAATGTTATCTCATTGTGGATTTGAGTTACATTTCCCTGATGTTGAGCATCTTTTCATGTGCCATTTGGCCATCTGGATGTCTTGTCTGAATAAATGTCTAATGGAATCCTCTTCCCATTTTTAAATTGAATTGCTTGTTTTTTTGTTATTGAGTTGTATCAGTTCTTTATATATTTTGGACACTAAACTCTTATCAGATATATGATTTGTAAACATTCAGTAGGTCAGCTTTCCATTTTGTTGATGGTTTCCATTGCTGTAGAGAGCTTTCTAGATTAATGTAGTCCCGCTTGTTTAATGCTGGCTTTTGTTGACATCATTATCTTTTTTTTTTAATTTTTTTTTCTTTATTTATTATAGTCACACAGAGAGAGAGAGAGAGAGGCAGAGACAGAAGCAGGCTCCATGCACCGGAAGCCCGACGTGGGATTCGATCCCGGGTCTCCAGGATCACGCCCTGGGCCAAAGGCAGGCGCCAAACCCCTGCGCCTCCCAGGGATCCCTGACATCATTATCTGACTTGCATAAACTTTTTTAGAGTGACATTAAGTCTTTGGTATTTTTTAGGCCTAAATATTAGAATTCTTTGCATATGAGTTTCACCTCCTTAGAGTGGCTCTGGAAAAAGAATAAATACAATTTCTTTCAAGCACTCTGAAGTACCACTCGAACCTCATTTAGTTGTTACTGGCTTGGTACACAGCCTTGAATGAAGCTTTTTAAAAGAAAGAAAACACTGTAGGAGCAAAATACCCTTTTTTCTTAATTTGAGAGAAAATTAGTAATGTCTGGAAATGAGATTTGCCAGAGTAAATATCTTCTGAACCTTGACTTTACATCCCACTGAAAAACTATGGATAGAGCTTAATAAGCCCAGGCTGTCAGTCACCATCTGCACCCCAGTGGAGAGAGAGCTCCCACGATCTGAAATAAAAAAAACTAATGTGTTTGAATTTCCTGTTCTGGGAGTGCCTGGGTGGCTCAAAGGTAGAGTGTCTGCCTTCAGCTTAGGTCGTGACCCCATGGTCCTGGGACTGAATCCTGCATCAGGCTCCCCACAGGGAGCCTGCTTCTCCCTCTGCCTATGTCTCCTCTGCCTCTCTCATGACTAAATAAATAAAATCTTTAAAAAATAAAAATAAAAATAAATCTTAAATAAATAAATAAATAAATAATAAATACATTTCCTGTCGTGTTCTGAAATTGCTTTCCACTGCTTCTGTAGAGTTTCATAGTCCACTAAGAAAGGATATAAATTTTGGTTAAGAATTCAGAGTGGCAGTATCCACAGGAATGTTCCAGCACTTCTTCCCATTCTTTCTTAAAACATCCTCTTCATATACTGCGTAAGTAATGACCTTGAAAAACCATTTTTAACCTATGAAAAGAGGATATATGAACATCTCTAGGCTGACACAAAGTAAAAATAAATCAAAGCTCATGTTTTTGCATCGTATACTGTGGTAATTGAAAATAAAAATAAACACCACTCTACAGATTTCCCTTCTCCATTTCCTTAAATATACTGGCCTTGACCTCTAGTAGCTTAGAATTTGGAATAATATAGAGATTAATTTTTTTTTCTGAGAAACAATGCATGAGAGAAGAATATATCCTACTTTCAGAAGAAACTCTAGAATCTTACTGTAATCCCTTCCACACTTTGCTTTCTCTATGACATGTTTTGGTTACTGATATTTTATCTCTATCACTGAGCTCTCTAGTTACCAAGAAACATGTTGATAAGACAGACAAAGAGTCGTGTTTAATAGTATCTGACATGGCATTTTGAATAGACTAGCTGGTTTTTATAACCTCCTTGAATGGTCTAAGAACTCCTTCTGATAATTGAAACAGTATTTATTACTGATTTCTGAGAAACCTTGGAGGAACCCAGCTCACAGAACTTAATTCCTTAATCTCACTTAAAGGAACTCTCCTTTCCCCAGTATTTTTTTCTTGGAAGGCTGAGAGCCCATTGGGAGGGGCCAATATTATTACTATTTTAAAGTGGGAAAATTTCAGGATGCCTGGTTGACTCAGTGGTTGAGCATCTGCCTTGGGTTCAGGGCATGGTCCCGGGTCCTGGGATGGAATCCTGCATTGGGCTCCGCGCAGCAATCCTGCTTCTCATCTGCCTATGTCTCTGTCTCTTTTTCTGTGTCTCTTATGAATAAATAAATAAAATCTTTTAAAAAATAAATAAAGTGAGAAAATTTCCACAAATACCATTTTCTATACAGATGAACAACAAGTAGTTAAAAAAGAAGAGATCAGGGGTGCTGCCTGAGTGGCTTAATGGGTTAAGCACCCAACCCTTGGTTTCAGCTCAGGTCATGATCACAGACAGGGTTTTGGGATGAAGCCCACTTTGGGCTGTGAGCTCAGCTGTATAATCTGGCTGAGATTCTTTCCCTCCCCCTCTGCTCCCCCTCTGCTTCTTCCCTTGTTTGCATACTTTCTCTCTCATAAATAAATAAATTAATAATAAATAAATAAATAAATAAATAAAATCTTTAAAAATAAATAAAAAAGAAATGGTCAAACAAAATAGGCTACAATCTTATTCCAGGCCTTCTTCGATGCACAAACTTTTCTAAATGTCCCCTACAGGGAGACAGGGAGCATCTATGCTAGAGATAATCCTCTCACCAAATTTTGGAGATTGATCTTATCTAGCTTTGCATCAGGAAACTGCCCAGGACTTGTGGTAGACTGGGAGAGAGACTAAATACAGAATGAAAAGTAAAAATGCAGGCAGAAATAATTAAAAATAAATATGAGGTCAAAGATGTATTTTTGATCAAGGAAGCCAGGGTTTAAGGAAGTGATGGCTTATTCATGATTACCCAACTAGTTCTTTGGATGTTTAGTGAGTAGGAGGATTTCTGACAAGTACTATTGAGGGTAGCAACTTTAATTT